ACAGAAAGAGAAAATAGGTGTTCTCTCTCTCTGGAGGGTCCTGTTAACCTGACTACGGCTGCCCCGGGAAGCCTGGGTCAAGGTCCGGCATGTGAGGGACACAGGAAACATGCATGGGCAGGGGGTGTGCCTGCTGAGGAGCCATCACCACAAAGTCACGTTTTCTGCAAACTCTGAACACCTGCTCTGCAGACAGCCTGCCCCTCTTGCTCTCATCTCGGGAAGTCCACAGAGCCACCAGGTCCTGCTGTCATTCCTCGGGCAGATGCATAAGGACAGGAGTCCCCCTTCCTCCCCCCTTCCTCCCCTCCCCCGAGTGCTTCCCTCCTCTGCGGCTTGTTTGACCATGTCACAGGTGGCTGCTCCCCTCCTGACTCCTTTACCTCCATCTTCTGATTTTTGCTTTTTTCTCTAAATAAAATATTTCTTCCAGCCTCTCTTTAGGTCACTTAAGAGCTACAGAGATTCTGATCATGGTATGATGCCATTGTGTGTGTTTTAAGAAGAGGAAAACCATACAATTTCCAGTCACAGTAAAGGGCTGGCATAATCTCTGAGTGCTCATCTCAAAGGGAGGGACCAAAGATCAGGGTAAAAAGAATCTCCTTCTACTTTCTACCGTTTCCATAGTTTGACTTCTTTTTTTTCTTAGCTGATAGCGGGTTTGATCAGCTCATTTTCATATTTTTTCAAATATCAATATGGTGGTGGGATTGGTTTGAAGTGTTGTTTTTTAGTTACAAATATACAAGATTTCAGTTTACTATGGGTTAGAGTTAGTCCTGTGGTCAGCCTGAGTGCAGTGACCGCTGGCAAGGCCAGTACCCTTGTCAGCTTCCAAGTGCAGCAACCAGTGCCCAGGTGAACTTCTAGTTGCAGCCCCTGTCAGCCTAGAAGCACCACATTGACTGAGGTCAGCAGACTTCCGTATTAAGGCCACATGGAGCATGCACTGAAGAAAGAGATTAGGGACATCCATTTCTTAGTTCTAGACTCTGGGCAATTCTTCTACCCCAGTATGACGCCTAAGTAATTGATCCAATGTCAGACAACCTTGTTTAATAAGCAGAGGGTAAAACTGTATGTAATAAACATTTATTCTATCTTCCAATTATGTATAGAAAGCACCTTCTGCACTTCAGGCAGTGCATGAGCACGTGGGTAAGATATGTAGTCAACAACTGTACTTTTCCTTGTCACACTGAAATATAGCTTTTCTCTTCACCCCTACTATCTTATTGGTGTATGATTACTATAATGACAGTTGTTTTCCCTGCAATCTTGAATAGCAGGTTTGATCGGCTCGTGAATGCATAAAATTTGCTTGTAATACTGAAAACAGTCACATTTCCCGACTCGGGATGGAGCTGAGGGACCAGGACAGAGTTTTCCCTCTGCACTGCAGCAGGCCCTGACTGTGGCTGTGATGGGCTCTTTCCCTTCATAAACCCAGCTCCGTTTTTGATCTTTTTGGGGGGCGGGGGGGGCTGGTCCTAGTTTTTGAATGTACAGCTAAGGAATGTCTCACACCCCACTTGATGGAGCACCACCCTCCTCTCGGCAGGTGGCTGGGGCTGCGCGGCTGAATTCCTCTGTGAGCCCCTTGTCCTTACTTCTCCCCCTGGTGGCAATGACGCATTTGTACCTGCCCTGCCCCTGAGCAGTAGCTCTCATACCTATTAAAAGAGTACAAATCAAAAAACTTTTTTTTAAGTATATTTTTAAGTCAATGGAGCTTTATTCTAGTTATTTATATGGTGCTAAGAATTGAACCCATGTGGCTGGGATATAGCTCAGTTGGTAGAGTGCTTGCCTCACATGCACAGGGTTCTGGGTTCAATCCCCAACACCACAAAAAAAAAAAAAGAGAGAGAGAGAGACAGAGAGAATTGAACCCAGTGCCTCACATATGCTAGGCAAGCACTCTACCACCAAGCCACAACCCCAGCCCACATTATCACTTTTAAAGAAAAAAAAAGATTGTGATTCAAGTTTACAGCTCCTGCACTTAATGTTGTTTAAAAGAAGTAGAATTTATATAGCAAAGGAAATGTTTACATCAGTTTAATAGTCATTAGCTTTATTTTTCACATCATTCTGTTTTAAAATGATTGTGGGGCTTGCAGTTGTTTATGAAATATAAGGCATTCATCAGCGTGAAATAGTTGTTTATTTCCTTTTCACATTTCCTCTTATCGGAAAAAAAAAATACATTGGGTCCCCTAGCCAACTACACTGTGTTTTGCTAAGGTATTTGTGAGGTTTTTTATGAACTGTGTTTACTATCACTGGGACAGAGGTTCAGAAGAGTTGCAGGGGAAGCCAGACTCCTGTGGCCCTGGCCGGGCAATGGGACTGCTGGGTGGAGGGAGTGTGGTGAATTTATCTTACCCTTGAGCATGAGCAAGAGCCTCCCTCCCTTGCCTCCCATTCATGCTCCCGGCTCTCCTGCAGCTGGACACTCCTCTGCCTGGCCGTGCTGGGCTGCCGGGGGGCTGTCGATGGTGTGCACACAGCTGTCTGTCCTGGCTCCTGGGCCTGCTCCCCACTCAGAAGCTGAAATACTACTCCGTGGCCTTAAAACTAACCAGAAACTTGGTCTCATTTTCCTTCCTAGCAAGTTTTTAAACTCTTAAACGTATAAAGATTTTCTGGTGGCTTTTTTTTTTTCCTGAGTGTGTGTGTACGCCTCTTATTTTTAGTGTTTATCAGGGAAAGAAAGGAAATATGGGACCATAAAAAAATAAACAACCCCAAAGAAAATATATGAAACAATGAAATGTACGGGGTCGTGCTTTTTCTTTCAGTGTGAATCTATAAATAGGTGTGAGGTGTGAGGTGGGTCCTTTAATTAGGGGCTTATCAATCATTTCCCTCGGACCTTATTTTTTTCCTTGACAGAAAAGCATGCTTATTATTACAGGTGCCAAAACACAGAGAGAAAAACAAGCAGAGAGTTTACATTGAGCCATCCCAAGCAGGTTTTGTGTTTGTTTTTCGCTTTCCTTCCCAAGCTGGGAGCCTGTAAACCAGGGAGTGGGGACCAAATTGCCTCAGGTGCCCACCACCCAGGGAAGGCCCCAGGAACAGGTGCACACCACCCAGGAAGGCCCAGGAACAGGTGCAGAGCCTAGGAAAAGAGGAACTGCAGGCCGCTCTTGACACCTCACTGGCTAGCTAACAAGGGCTTTGGAAATCCCCGTGCACTGCTGCTCACACTCTTACTAATCCACCCTGGAAGGACGAGATGTTGGTCACCTGCTAGAGTCTGCCTCCTCCTGTTCTGTCTCAACAGTGTCTCCAAGGCCTGAGAGAAGGGGCTGGTTTGCCCTTAAAAACGCCTGCACCTTCTCAGAGGGTCACAGGTACACCGTCCTGGGCCTAACCAAGCCAATACGATTGAGTCGTCCTGCCTTTGACAAAACATTCTCTTTATATTTGGTGACTGTTTATTTTAGCAGGTGGCTTGCTAGTTGGCCAGGTTACAGTGTTTACTAGCTCCATGTGTCTCCCCTACCCTGCTCTGGGGCTGTCTGCACAATTCACTCGGCCATGGTAGATATCAGAGGTCACTAAATGTGAGCATGCCATAGTCAAAGAAATAGAGGTCAGCAGACATCGAGGATCCAGTTTGCCTTCCAAAGTTGAGACCTGTGCTGCTGCATACGTCAATGTTTAGTGTCATCATTTGCACATGATGAGTTTTACAAGATTTAAAAAGAGCACACACAGTGATCTTCAAGAAGGAGAGAAACCAGAGAATTCACCCAGGAGCAGACCCTGCTGAGGTCTTTATCTGAGGAGCCTTTCTGCATCTGTTGTCTCTGTTCTCCAGTTGAACAGCCCCTCTGTCACAATAGCAGTGGGGCTGGGCACATTCATTCATTTGGACTCCTGGCCTGAGCCATGAGTCAGTGGCTTCCTCTCTGAAGGTAGGGGAGTTAATGAGAAACACAGATTAGGATCCCACACCTACTCAGGGATCAGACAGGGTGCCAGAGCACAGAGCCCGTGCTGAAATGGAAGACAAGAGAATCACCCTCTTCTGGGAGGAAGTGTCCAGGAAGCCCACCGAATTTGAGAAGCTTTTATGTGACTTTAAATAATGACCCTCTCCCGCGTCCGCGTTGCCAGGCAATGTCATCTTTATAATGTCTAACCGTTAACCTACTATTTACATATTTTGTTTAAACTTCCTTTGGAATACATATGGTTCGTATAAAGAAAATTCCAGGGTCACTTGGGGTTTCGTATGAAAACGATCGTTTGTGAAAGAAAAACAGAGCTTTCAGGATCTTATTTTGGTCGCGTGCTCTGAGAAAAGGCTGTGAAGCGGTGGAGCCCTGCCACCGAAGAACAGGCTGTCACCCCATCCCATTCCAGTCCCACGTGGGGAAGCTCCCAGAGCCCGCAGTGGAACTGAACAGGGCCACTGTGCCTTCGGGTGCTTGGGAAGCTAGTCCCTGTGTCAGAGTACACGCCTGCAGTGGTCGAGCCCTGAGATTCTGGGAAACCAAGGTCTGCTTTATTGAATTTCCTCTCATTTAGCAGGAGTCACAATCTATTTTCATAAAGAAATTCAGGAAATTGGTAAAGCACTTGAGTCCATCCGCTACATATCAGTTATTAACATGATTCTCACGTTTTCCTGACCCCGGGCTGCAAGCTCACAGCCTCCCTCACATGCCTGCCGCCCGCTGAGCAGGTCCTGGTAATGGGTGTCAGGGAGCTCCAGCTGCTCAGACAGAAGAGCCTGCAGCGTCTGCAGGGAAGTGCACTTCCGCTGCCACTCTAGGAGGCTCCCAGCCCCAGAGACCGTCCACACGGGTCCTGGCACACTTTTCAAATAACCCCTTTCGCTTTCTGCCCTGTGGCACGTTACCCCCCCTCCACCGGGCACAGGACAAGAGGGATGGTCCTTTGTTCAGGGTGCTAGTCACCACCTCGCCAAAGCTCTGGCCCCGAGAGCTCCCGAAGCTCAGGGAGCCCAGTTTGCCTACCTTCATCAGCCACTGAGTGTTGTTCTCCATGATGTTCTCCAGCACCTGCAGCCTGTGCACGGAGTCGTCGTAGTCCAGGGGTGCGTCCCTCTGCACGGCATTGGACACGTAGGGGCTGGAGGAAGAGCGGCAGCTGTCCGTCTCCGGCAGCAAGAAGGTGTAGCTGCAGGGCCCGTGCTGGACCTGGTACTGCTTTCTGCCAGTGCTGTCCACACCCTTCCGAAAGCTGTTGTAGGCTGCCGCCAAGACGAGATCACAGCCCAGAGTAAAGAAAACAATCTGCCACATTCTCTTGCTTTGGGTAGTAAACCACCAGTTCAGCAGACTTCCAGACGCATGGGAGTCCAAAGCTCTGAGCTGCCGTCTAAAAGGCAGGGCTGTGCTGCATGGCCGAGTCCGTCAGTGACAGCCTGCCTGTCCCTCCCTTCCAGCGGCAGGCTTGGTTTCAGGGCTGACTTCTCTCGGGGCACGCAGTAAACTGTCAGATCGCAGTGGGCAGAGCAGTCCTGCTCGCTCGAGAGGGCTGTGCCGGCTTCAGAGAGCAGCTCTCATGTCTCTTTGTTTCTCTTTCCCTGGTTCTACAGTGTCACTATCCGAATCAATCACTTTCCTTTCCTTATATGATAAGTTGATAAGAGCAGCCAGACATGTGCAGCAAGCGGCTCCGCCCTCCTGGCTCCCCCGTTATCTTCCTGTAGGGGGTCACTAGCCAGGCAGCAGGAAAAATCAGAGCGTAATGCTCGCTGTCCAACCAGGACCGCAGGCTGCAGAAGCCCTCGGGTCGGAACGCTGACCAGCTGTGGGACCCCTGGGCCCGCGGAGGCACCACCCTGACTGAGCATTTCCTCGAGAGAAGTGGGGCTGTCCTATGATACGATGCTCCTTCTCCCGGCTCAGCTGGCAGAGTATCTGAGGTAGTAACTTTAATTTTAAAGTACAATGAAAGTTCCTGTTTTTTCCTTTAGGAATAAAAATACTACAAATATGTCAGGACTTCGGTTTATTTTTGTTATTACAAATAAAGAGGAAGACATTTGGCTCCTGTAAACTGCCTTTCCAGAGGGAAACGGTCTCCTTGGTACGGCTCAATTTTGGAACTGTTCGCTAAGTTATGAAAAGTTTTTATTTTAAACTAGCTTGACATTGTTAACTCCAGTTAGAAAGATCAGTTTGGGAGCCTTGACGTTTATTCTTTTAAACAAAATATTCACATAAGTATTCAAAGTAAACTTAAAATATACTGGTCTGATTAACTACTTCGTATTAAGTTGCAGTCGAAAATCAGAATTTAAAAGTGTGCTAAGAGGAGCACCTAGCCTCCCACTTTCTTACAGCCAGACCTGCCCAGATCTCGTTATCTCATAGCATTATCAATTAAATTGGTCTCACACGGTGTTGGACTCCGACCAATCATGTCCCCTTTTGAATTGAGTTCTAACGTCCTTATCTGTAAACGCAGCAGCAGCTCCAACCGACTTCCCAGACTGTCTGCTCAGTTCCACAGCTCTGCACCCCGTGTGGCGCTTCCTTTGGAGCTGAAACCCCGTCCTTGAAGGTGGGCAGAGTGCTGGCTCCCAGACTGGGGTACTCGAGCCTTGCTCGAGACCGTTTGTGTCTCAGTGTTCTGGACTTATTTCCCAGTTGAGTGGGGAAGTAGCAGAGCTCGTCTAGCTGTGATGGCTGAGGGTCAGTCTGCATTACCAAGGTCAGGTTTCAGAGCAGTGAAGAATTATGATTTTAATTCATAGGTGAATCTGGAATTTATACAGTGAATTTCGTTTTCCTGAGATCTGTTTCCAGGAGACTCTGAAAAAATCCATCCTATTACTGGACCGACTTCACTCTTACCTTTAGAACAGGGGTTTTGATTCTGAGGTCCGTGGCCAGAATTCATTAGGTCCATGAGCTTGGACAAGGGGTAAAAAGTCAGTTTTCCACCATGCTCTTGCCAAAATACAGCCTTTCCTGTGTCTGCGACTGGTTACCACATGGTGGTCAGCATCTGTGACTTTCTCATCCCTGTAGGTTAGAGGTTTCTGTTACAGTGTCTCAGATTCTCTCTCATGTGAGCAGCACACTGTGGTCAGGCCATCCCTAGATCTCGGCCTCAGGTCTTCTGAGGAGGGGTTCCTTGGCGCCAGACTACCAACATTCTCAAGCTCAGAAAGGCCAGAATTCATGTTCAGAGTTTGTGTTGGTAGAAGAAAGAGTTTGAGTTCACCAAGATCCAGGTGCATAGTCCCCAGGAAAGGACCAAACCAGAGAAGGTCATCCCTCCAGTCAGCAAGCCCTCGAGGGAGGTGCCTTGTGTTCAGACAAGCCTGGGAGCCGAGGTACCTCAGCAGATGCTCAGCCCCTCCCAGCCTCAGTTTCCCTATCTGTAAAAAGAGGCCACTCTCCCGTAAAGCCTTCCAGGCTAAGGTGACAGGCAGTAGTACATGTCATTTAGGAGTATTCGTTTCCTTTCCTTCTAGGCACTGTTATGAAATGGAAATCAGTTCTTCTACCTTCAAACACTGTAACTAATTCTCTGATTCAGTGTGAAACAGTAGCACAGCATAGACATTTTTTTCTTCTACATTTTTTGCCTGTTTGAAGAAGCATGTTGTGAAGTATTAAATTGCACGTGTGTTTTAAGACTCATTCGGTTGTCTCCCAGGCAGATGGGGTGGTTCTACAGGCCCCAGGAGGAGGTCCCCAAGTGCTGCCTATCCACCAGGTTTGTGTGAGACGCGCTGCCAGGGCAGGGGCTGGATGCTCACACCTCTGAGCTTCTCACCTAAGAAGCTCCTGGTGTCTCAAGGGAGCGAGACCTGTAAACGCAGAGCGAGGAGAGCAGGGACTGAGTGCAGACAGCAGAGAGGTGACAGGCTCCTGGGGACAGCTGGCCTGCAGGTGTCAGTGTGGACACAGTCCTGATCCAGGCCCCCAGGACCAGAACGTGGAAGGAACTGCTCTTTGTGGATTCCTAAATAGAAGTTACTAGAACTGGAGATGGAGGGAAGCTCTGGTTAGACCAGGAGTTGACACCCATTCCTGTGAAGGGTCAGAGAGTAGATTCTTAGGCTCTGTTAGCCGTCCCATCTGTCACCAGCTCTCGGCTCGAGTCCCAAAGCAGCCACTAGCCAGAACTTAGTAAGAGCAGTGGGGACAGTACAGCTTGATCCCAAAGCTGGACTTCATGTGATTTTCACCTTCGTGAAATAGTCTTCTCTGGATTTTTTCCAACCATTTAAGAACGTGAAAATTATTCATAGCTCACAGACAAAATCTGCTGTGGGCTGTCGTTTGCCAACCTGTGAGTCGGAGCCTAGGATGTCCACCGGGGGCTGGGATGGCATCTCTAGGGCCACTGCTCAGTGCAGAGCCCTCTGATGCCCTGCAGCTTCAGACAGGTCAGACGGGCCAGGGAAGGGGGCTTAGAAAGGCCCAGAGAGAGTGCCCTGTTGAGGCCGGGTGGGAGGTGCAGCGGGAGGAGGAAGTGCCGGAAGGGCCAAGGCTCACGTGCCAGGCCACAGCAGGAGCCCAGAGACACTGCGTCAGGGGAGCGAGGGGCCACACCTATGTGCCGAGGAGGGCCCGCAGAAGTCCCCGCAGGAAGGCGGGGGCAGTGAGGGTCCAGGTCGCCTTCCATCTGGGGGCCATAGAGGCACCTGCTTCCGTTGCTTAGGAGATGCCCCAACGGTGGCTGCTGGCACCGCTCTCCATGGGCCCGGGGTGGCACTGGCTTCAGTCCACATCTCTCCACACTCTGAGGGAGGCCTCGCTGTGGTCCTGTGCATCTCCACTCCTGCTGGACTCTTGAGTGACTTGCTGGCAGAGCAGCCGAAGGCAGATGAAGATGTGAAACCAGGGACGTTGTTCCAGGCTTCCCAAAGCCGCCTGCCCAGCCTCTTTTTCCCCTCTGACAGTTCTGCTGGACAGCTGTGGCGGTGCTATTTGTTTTTTTAATAATGTTTGTCTTCTCCCCGTATTGTATATTATCAGCTGTAACTTCAGAGGCTCCATCTATCCTCTGTAGAACTCTCTCAAGGTCTCATTAAGCTGTTTGATGGCACCAAAAAGACTCAATTACGTGCTCCCATGAAAGAAAGAGGTCAGCTTTACCCAGAACCTCACAACTGGCCGCTTGGCTTTACTTCATCCCGTTTGGCCAAGGATCTCCTGCAGGCTGCAGCCTCTGGCCACCCAGGAGCAAGGCTGATGTAGCCATCGACCCGCCGCTCTCTGGATCCTGGAGTCAGAGTGGCCACAGCCCTTCAAGGCCCTGAGGCACCCAGAGCAGTGTGTGGCTCCCTCAAATGTCTTGTTCCATTTGAATGGTGTCACTGGAAGCAGGAAACCAAACAAGAAAGGCAACGTCCAGTCAGCACAAAGTGGTAGCAGCTCCCTGAGCCATAGATGCCAAGTAACGACTTGTGAGCATACCCACGTGGCCTCTGCTGACACCCAGGGAGCCAGCGTACATCCAGGACTCAGCCGGGTAGGGTGCTGACCACCAGGTGGAAGTGGGCCCCCACCTGGCCTGGGCCTGGGCTGCTGCTGCCTTCCTGCTGACAAGGCTCATGCGCTGTGCTTTGCCAGAGCCCTGCCCTGTTGGCAAGTACAGGAAAGGGCTCCTACGTCCATGCAGGCCACTGGCCCCTGACCTGGAGCACAGTGGTTCCCACAGGGCTGGGCAGCCCCTCCTGTCCTGAGCCAGCCCCTTGTCCTCACCCTCACCCACACAGAGTCCACTCTCCTCATGTCATCGCCACCAGCAGGACCCCAGGGTGGTGACTGGCACAGCGTACTTGGCCCCGCATGATCTTAACTTTTGGAAAGGGCCGTGTTGGTATATGAGGAACTATCGGTGCTGAATTACCCTAAAATATGAAACTGGGACGCTCTATTTCGCAGACAGATGGGCACACTCGGGACTCTCAGGCGCCTGGCATGCTACCACTGGAAGGCAGCTGAGAGACAGCTTGGCCATCTCTCCTTCCTACCCCTGGCCTCTATAAAATTGGCAAAACAAAGTCAACATGTTTACATATGCAGCTTAGCCTTCAGCATGAGGAGAAACCATCAGGAAGCTCACTGAACGTAAAACTGTTGTCAGAAGTTATTTTCACCGTTCCTTCCCCCTGAGTTGAGGGCAATAAGGAATGAGAACCGGGGAGGCGTCCACAGCTGACAGCTCAGGAGAGGGTGAGGTCTACTCCAGCCTTCTTCCTAAAAGCAGCCCCAGCATGGCCATCCCTTTGGGTGCCTCCCTGGCTGTTCCGTTGGGGCACATGTTGAACTAGAAGTCCACAGCCACGGGCAGGAACGCAGGTGCATCCACGGGTGCTGCTCCCCAGGGCTGCTCATCATGCTGGACCGAAGGGAAGCCCAGGAGCTGCAGTGCCCCGAGGCTGAGTGCAAGACGAGCACCGCAGGAAAGCCCCTTGGCATTACTGCCCACAGGAAGACAAGGAAAGCTGAGACGCACAGGCCTCCGGGAACACGGGGGCGGCTTTTGTAACGGGGGGAGGAAGGCGAGGTGTGTGAGGCGCAGAGAGATTCCACCAGTCAAGTGCGTTCTGGGCCTTTCTGTACCTTAATGGTGATGAATCTCAGGAGAACTTAAAGCAATGATTTTCCCTCTGATTTCAACATGGAAAAGCCCAGCCTGCAGGATCAAATCAAAACGCACCACTTAGTACTGACTGCCCTCTCTGCAGCCCAAACATGCATCCCCATTTCACTTCCAGAGTCTTCTGTGGCCTTTGGTCACCTGAGTCGGAGCTGTGGGGTCTTGTGTGGACACTCACCAAGCCTGTGTCAGTATG